CAGCATTTTGTTGCAATTATCTGACACTATTTCAAGGAAAAATTGTTCTGTATTACAAAATTACACAAAATTTTCCAAAAGGTTCATTATATTAAAAATTGATTTATTTATCCAGATGTTGCATGTTCTATCCAATATGCAAAGCTGATCAGATAGTGAATCAATAGGTGAATATTTACATACTATATATAGTAGTCACTTTATTGAAAGCTTTTTACTAATTTTTCTCGCAAAAACCCCATTGCAGATAGTATTAAATTTAAATAGATTTATTTAAAAAAATGTTTAACTGCTATATTTTGTTGGATGACTGATTGCATTTTTTTTGGTGTGTAATTGTGATATTTTGATGCGTGTTGAATGACAGACATAATCCTTCCTATATGATGTACAGTGATAGTATTACAACTACGTGTACAAAACATTAGTCATGATTAATCACATGAGACATGTTTGCATTGCTAAGTGCATAGAGAAACAAGTACTGTACTTAAGCTTTCATGTACTTGTCAACAACATTTTTAGCTCAACACACTTGCCTACTTCTAACAAAATGTGTCATTGTTAAAGCTTTTATTATAGAAGGATATCGAAAAATAATACAAATAGCTTAAAATACACTGAAGTAGCAACTGTACTGTGAATTTCACATAGGGTAATAAGAATTATCACTCTATTATATGTAGGTTTGTAAATTAGTATCAATGTCATAATGTTAAATGAGTACCTTGACCTATCAATCACAGTCGGACAGTTCATGTTGTGATTCAGGTGAATACACTCTGACTCACATTTCATTACAGTTTACTTATTTAAAACTGTTATATTTATTAACAAAAAGTCTGTAAAACAATACAGATGCATTATAATTGCCTCCTTAGTTTTGTCAGATTACTAGTTGTTTATATCAGTATTCCCAAACATGTAAATGTCAGTTCACAAATTGTACATCTAACTTCAACAAATCTGACCATTTATACATTATCTCAATGGAAGCCATAGTCATAACATTAATTTAGTATACAGCATAAAATATTGAATCACCAACATAACAATTCTTCTATTAACATGTTGTGATTATGGAAGAACAATAAAAGAAAAATTCATCAAATTTATTTGATTTATTATATTTGTCTTTGGAGGGTACATAGTGTTTTTACATTTTGTTTATTTGAATACATTTACACGACACTTTCTTTTTTGGTAATAAAAATCACATCAATCAGATGATTGACTCACCTGACAGATTCTATTGACTCAGTTTATTAATATTTCATTTCAGTTTACATGGCAATCATATCGGTGATGAAGGTATGGAAATTCTGTATGATTCATTGTCAATGCATCCATCTCTGGTCTCGCTGGACATGGGAGACTGTCGCCTAGGAGACAAAGCAATCAGATTGATCAGTAATTTGTTACCTGATGATGGTGCCAAACCAGGTGAGTTGGGCGTTCTAATGATCTGTTTGTGTGTGTTCATTAGCTACACCTGGTTACTTGCATGTATCTGTGAAATGTGTATTTGAAAAATGAATGATACAATGAATTATTCATATTTGCTGGACAATATTTTAGTGATAAAATGAAATGTTGTACAAATCAAACTTAAAGAGTCAAAATAAAAACACCATTAAATATTACTTTCATCCGGAAGTGCCACATTTGTCAGACTGATATTGGTTTCATGCTTCGTTCATAAAAATATATGTAAAATACATTGTTTCTTTGTGTTAAAAGTTCTGTGAAAGTACCCTTTTTACCATTGTTTTTTATTATTATTATTAATCCTTTATTTCAGGCCAAAAAAAAGTCCCATATTAAATACATAACAAACACGAACACTAATAAATACAACGTCTAAGATTAGTCCAAAATTTGGATAAGAAAAAACTGTCAGAGTTGACACAAGTACGAATTAAAGCATTATCGCTCGTAAGTAGGCGCTGACTGAAGTTATATAATTGCACTGAAGAGATTCAAAGTTGAAAATATTTCTATTCACGCAATTACCACTGGCGCTGCTAGCCCGTTTAAGGCTAAAGACCAATCTTATAGCGTTATTATAAGCCACTCGCACAGTATTCACAATTTGTGTACGATAATCACACCAAACATTCAAACAATATATACTGTATAAATACATTCTAACTTGCAAATTATTGTATTTATCTGAAAGATCACTCATGGGCGATGTGTCAGCACCTGGACGATATTTTGGGGCTGCTAGTAAAAAATAAATACCAGAAAAAATAACGCAGTAGTAAAATAAATGTTTTTTCAAGTGTGAGAAATAATAAGGAAGAAATCGCCATTGACAGGTTTAGCAAGAATTTTATGCACAGAGCGACAGTGTCGGTCCAATGGAACTTTCTAAAATATATGGCAAAAAATAAAACTGACGTCTAAAAACTTGGTACTCTTGTTTTGTGCCAAAAATGTATAATACAAGTTCGTTGTTTATAGAAAAGTAGTTATTTAGATGCAATAATAAATTCAAAATTATGCTTGTACTGACACCGGGTCAATCTAATCAAAGACGTAAATTCATGCATCAGGATACTAATAGTATACATATATGGTAGCAATGAACTTTCAAACTTTCAACAACATGGCGCTGAAATCATTCAAATTTTCTAATTCTGTTCACATTGACTGAGGAAATGTTTTGATCAATATGCATTGCTTCAAAGCACTTTTTGTTCCTTGACACATGCCTATGGTTAGGTTTATGTCATGAGTAAAAAAAGATTGAAGTTGCTGTTCTTTTGATATCATTTTTAGTACGTTGTGTTACAATCTCCAGAAGGGATCACCATGCATCAGGAGTTCACGTTTTAATACAACACATTTTAATCTGACACAAATTTAAATCTTTATTTAACACCGCGAATACATTTAATATTTGTTTACATGTCATCTGTTGTGTGAATTAGTAGAGTCCACAAATTAATAGTTTTTATGCTACAGAGTGTAGATCAACTACCATGAGAAATCCAATCTTTGTTGACCCGGGGCGAGGGCATGAAAACAGTTGATTGTGCAACAATGTTGAGAAAAAAAGTGTTGAAACAGAGCCCTAGGCAGTGTATCTGGTGATCTCCCAAAATATGACCTATTATCCAAAACATCACCAAAGGTGATCTTTAAGGTAAATACAGTAATGGGAGTCAATATGCAAGGACACTTGGGGATAAAGTGAAAGGATAAATACCCTATTTATATATTATCAAATAAATATGTTTAGGGATGCAGTGTTAGACTAAAGTATTCCTTGAAAATATTTCCTGAAATTTGAAAACCAAAGTTTTTAGTTTTTGAATGTATCCTAAAAAAGACATTTTTAATCACTGATGTAGGGCATAATAATAGCGCGGCACTCTGCGAAAGAAAATGTTTCTTTACATTCAACAAAATGGTGTTTAGAAGTTACTTTTGTACATAATATATTATAAATGTTGGGTACTTATTAGTTTTAGCCAATTGGATATGGCATGTTGCACTTAACTAGCAGGGCAAGTAAACTCAAACTAACAGATTGCAAAGGGAGAAATATACACTTGGTTTAACATATTTAATGTTGCTGGGATATTCTTACGTTTTCTGTGCATGGTTACTCTTTTTTAGTAACCCTTGTCTTTGGTTATATTTGAATGTACGGTAACAAACTGATCAGGAAACCTTCCTTTTCAAGCTGCATGTACTGTGCAGGTTTTTAATACTCTAACCTAGGAATGTCTGCATTTGTTTTGACTCAGCACTTTCAATTCCAACAACCATTTTCATGAGGGTTGTTAGGTGATAAAAACAACAATTTTCTGTGTACATTGGTTGGTCCACAGAAATTATACAGTACTAAAATATAAACTTTGTTTTTTTTAAATTTCAATGTTATAGTGAGAAGGAAAATCCAATTATGGCTGAATATCATATGAGGTCATTCAAAATACAACCATGGACCTAACCCTGTTTTGCTGATATTTCTAAATCACATTGCACATATGCTCTATAGAGAGTTAATTTTGTATATATATATCTGTGTGGAACACCTTCTATCTATCTCTGTGTTATATGGTTGATAGACCATTATAATTCCAATGATAGACAACATACAGTATAACTAATATTTACAGGCAATACATGACTAGAGTGAAATAAAATATGGAAGGACTTCATATGCAAATGAGTGTTGAACACTGACAGGAATATTACAATGTTGCAAGGGAGATCGAAAAGTAGAAATTAGTTTTTCTTATCACATTAGCTGGCTATTGTAATTAGCATTTATCTAGCAGTAAAATAAATAAAAATAAAAACCCAGTTATTAATAGTTAATAATAATCTGTAAAATAAACATGTGTTTTATTGGATAAAAACAGTTGCCCTGGTACTCAAATAACATTCCCAACAAAGCATTAATATTTTCACCTATTATATTAACAGTTTATGCAAATTTTAGAATTGATGTTTGGAATGTCAAACAAATAGAAATGTCATGGTTTTTGTGGTCTGTTGTTGCCAAAGTAAGATAACAATGGTTCTTTGTGGTCTGTTGTAGCCAAAGTAAGATAACAATGGTTCTTTGTGGTCTGTTGTAGCCAAAGTAAGATAACAGTTGAAGTATATGAATAGCTTATTAAAGATGTAATTATTATGCAATGGTTTATTAATTAATATTCTTTTTTAAAAGTTTTGTTCATGCCACTTAAGTTTATTTTTCAAAATGCATACAAATATGTGAATAAAACATATTTTCAACATTTGGGATTATTTAATGACAGAATCTTAATTCTCTTTCGTCTGATG